AATTCCCTACTGACGTGCAATTGGGGTTGGCCTGAGGGTAGAAGGGAGCGGCCATGCCCACCGACTTGCAGGTTACACTGCGTCGGGTCTCTGAAGCTCGCGAAGTGGCCAGAGAAAACACTGCAAAGACGCAAGCCGTGAATGAGCATGTTCTTAAATGGGCAGTGGGATAGGGCCTGGTTATACTGCCCTCAAAATCACATTGACCATAGTAGGGTCCTGTCGAGGTGGTGGAAGTCAGGAGGCCTCAGTTTGTGAAAATTCAGGTGGGACGCTGTGGCTGGTTTGTTCACCCGTCACGCCTGAAATCACATGTTCAGCCGCCTGTAGACAGTTCACCTCCAAGCCTGGTTCGGCTAATGTCTCATGTGTCCGACAAGCCGGGGCAGTCGGCCGAGGAAGTTGTGCCTCAGGGGAAATGCGTTGTGCCACCCACTGTTTCCAAGTCCCTGAAGCCGGGGGAACTGCAAGAAGCCGCCGCGTGCGATGGACCGTTGGCTGGAGCCCGGTCAACTTCCTCGGAGTTCGGAGATGAGCCCCCCCCCTTCAGGGCCTTTGTGCAAGCCCCTGTTGCCCGAAGAGGTGCGGAAATACACTCCAAGCGATGGACCGGCGTCGAGGACCCAGACTAAATGTCTCCGGTTCCATTGAGCAGACCTCCCATGGTTGTGGCGGGTTGTTTTTGTATGCGGTGTTCCGCCTTAATGTGCATCGGTCGTCGGGTTGTGTTTTTACATGCGGTGTTCCGCCCTATTCTTCGTCAGTTGTTGTAAGCTGAGACGGCTGTTTTTTTTAGAAGGGGGGGGGGGGGGTGTTGTAGGGACAATGCAGAGAGAGAGACACTGCGTGTGTGGAGACAGTGCGGGTGCAGGGACAGTGCGTGGCCAAGTGATCACGAGGGATAATTAAAGGAGGAAACCATCGGGGAATTTCTGTATTGGTCGAGACAATTCGAGAAAGGGGGCGTGACCGGCGGCAGAGCGAGGCCATGCCGGGGGAAGATAAGCCAGTAGGTGAGGGAGCTTGGGGTGGCCGGGGAATTGGGATGGACTGTCTTCATGCCGTCGCAGTTTTCGGGCCGTTGCTGTTTCCGCGTCATCGCTGTCTTCACGTCGTCGCTACTTGGGTGCTGTCCTAGTCTAAAGTGTGTTATCCTAGCCAAAGTGTGTTATCCTAGCCCAAGTATCTGTTGTTATCCTAGCCCAAGTATCTGTAGGATACACGACCCGTTATCTGCACGATGTGCCTTAATAAATAGATAACGAAGACAAGAAGTTGTCCGAGAGTCATTACATGTGCATGGGTGGGAAGTCGCTATACTGTTATACGAAATGTATCAATAGCTCATAGCCATAAAGAGCTCTTTGGTTCTTTCGGTAAAGTTACGTAGAAAGAAAATAAATTAAATAATAGAATACGACGTATCGATTGCAATGCAAGCAGCTGTCATCAGGTAGAACTAAATTTGAGAGAGATACAAAACACAGACACGGAGACACACAGACAGACACACAAGCAGATAAAGACAACACAGAGACACAGAGAGAGACACACAACATAGACACACAGAGACCCAATGCCTATGTGTCGAGAGAGAGGGGGGGCAGAGAGAAAGGTGGGTCTGCTGGGGCAGCTGCTGGAACAGAGAAATTAGCATGTCAATGAATCCACCCCGAAGCGACCGAGGGAGAGAAAGATCGAATGGTCCGATGACAGCCTGGTAAATTTTAGATAAAGAAATAGGCAGTTTGATAAAACAAAATGTAGCACATTTTTGGACATGTAATGCAATGCAACACAGATAATTGGCTAACACACAGTTGACGCATAGCCTGGTTGATTACGATCTCCAAAGATTGTTAAAATTAGAAGGTAAGTGTGAAAATTTACAGAGACACACAGAGAGATGTGTGGAAATCCACCCCGAAGCGGCCAGGGGAGAGAAAGGGCGAATGGACCTATGAGAACCTGGTAAATTTTAGAGAAAGAAATAGGCCGTTTGAGAAAACAAACTTAGAATTTATTTTTGGAAATGTAATGCAATGCGACACAGAGAGTCGGCTAACACACAGTTAACGAATAGCCAGGTTGATTACGATCTGCAACGATTGCTAAATTTGAAGTTAAGTGTGAAATTTGACAAAGAGACAGAGAGAGAGAAAACAAACTTACATCCTCAGACACAGAGCGAGAGAAAACAAACTTACATCCTCCCCGTAGTGGTGGTTTAAACTTGATTTGAAGCTTTCGTGACTGCAAGAATTGCTCTTTAGTTCTTTCGGTAAAGTAACGTAGAAAGAAAATGTATTAAATAATAGAATACGACGTTTCGATTGCAACACAAGCAACCGTCATCAGGTAGAACTAAATTTGAGAGAGAGACAAAACACAGACACGGAGACACAGGGTGGATTTCCGCACATCTCTCTGTGTCTCTGTCAATTTTCACACTTTAATTGTAATTTTAGCAATCTTTGGAGATCGTAATCAACCAGGCTATGCGTTAACTGTGTTAGCCGACTCTCTGTTTTGCATTGCATTACATTTCCAAAAATGTGCTAAATTTTGTTTTCTCAAACTGCCTATTTCTCTTCTTGGTTCTTTCTCTCTGTAAAATTTACCAGGCTCTCATAGGGCCATTCGATATTTCTCTACCTCGGTCGCTTCGGGGTGGATTCATTGACATGCTAATTTCTCTGCTCCAGCAGCTGCCCAAGCAGACCCACCTCTCTCTCTGCCCCCCCCTTCTCTCTATTTAAGGCCTCGACACAGAGGCATTGGGTCTCTGTGTGTCTATGTTGTGTGTCTCTCTCTGTGTGTCTCTGTGTTGTCTCTCTCTGCTTGTGTGTCTGTCTGTGTGTCTCCGTGTCTGTGTTTTGTCTCTCTCAAATTTAGTTCTACCTGATGATGGCTGCTTGTGTTGCAATCGAAAAGTCGTATTCTATTATTTAATTTATTTTCTTTCTACGTGACTTTACCGAAATAACCAAAGAGTAATTCCTGCAGTCACGAAAGCTTCATATCAAGTTTGAGCCATAAAGAGATTAATCAACCTGATGCAGTATGTATTGTGTTTTTTTCTATACCTCCCCTCCACTCCAATAATATTTGTGATCTAAGTCGATTTTTGCAAAGAAAAAATATTTTGAATCGATGCTTTTTAATAGTCGATGTGTGTAAGATTTGACTAGTAACATTTCCTTTGATCGACAATTCGACAAATTGTCGCGAATCTGAACAAAATGTTATCGTTTAAAAATTATTGATTTTTCATTCGAATCGTGATTTTTTATCGAATAATCGGCGGCGGTGTGGAGGTGATGGGGAAACCTTTCCTGCTGTTGTGTATTTACCATGATTTACCGACGTTACAGGAAATGCTGTTACTGAGCGAGTCATGCAAAGCTAGAAAAAGACAAATACAGACAGCATGGGGTGAGTGTAGAGGAACACGTTGACACTCTGCGGTAGCACTTTCAAATGCTCAGTAATATTGTGCAATGATGACTTTATATAATATCGCAATTAAGTTTTGTTGCTGTTCCTTGTGATTTATATAAGTGATCGAATCTCGCTATCGATTTATCATTCTCGTGTCAGACTGCCGTTCCGTGCTCACTTAACGTCCGCGACACACACGGCTAACTGAGCGCCGCGCACAAGGTGTTGTTACCCTGGGTGTGATAACTGCTGACCTTTGCCCATTTCCTACCACCCACCCTGCCGGGAAAGACAATCGAGGGCCAAAGAGTCGGCGGCTGCTGAAGACGAAGTAAACAATTCTCATTGAGAAAATCTCTGCAATTAAAAAGGGGGATTGCCCAAAACGTTAGGAATGTGTTAAGTTTTGTTATTTATGCAACAGGAATCGGCGAAAGTATTGGTTATGTTTCATCATTATCATCAGTATCATAACCAGCCGTGATAAATCCACCCAAAGCTGTCGCTATCTCTAACTGTCCTGCAATGCAACATTTTAAATTAATCATAAACCAAGCATTTGCGGGCGGGCGGGCGGGCGGGCGGCGGGGGGGACTCCTCACCGTAGCACGCACAAAATTCGCTGTGGCACTGCCAACTCGGCGTCGACATTTGACAGGAATCCGGTGCAATGTTAAGCCCGTGGGCGTCTATCCTGCAGCAACCCCCACGTGCGCCGTCGCTGCTCTCACGCGGACCGAGCGCGTTTTCACGATCGCGATGCGCATGTTGCGAGAGACGAGAAATTGAACCGAGCCCCCCGCAAATAAATATTGTGCCTCCCGAGGTTTATACTATTGTTGTATAGCGGGCATCCCCTCACTCCCATCCACTCCCCCCGCCCAGAGCTCATCTCACTGAAAACACGAAGTGTATTATACGAGGAAGCGGAGGCATGTGAGGGACATTCAGGTGTTTCTTCTGAACTCTGAGATCACAAATCACGAAAACGAACACGGAAATCTGTAATTAATCAAAAAACAAGGGGTGGCTGTGGTGTGGTGGAGGAAGCCAATACAGTTCTCGGGACAAAAATTTGAACGACAAATAGTCCTTCTCAAACAAACATTTCATACATTACAGTGCTTCATCAAATTCCTGGTTTCCTACGACATGACTGCTATCGACTCGGTAATGGGTGGCCTATTTACCGCGTAGGGCGCACACTGTGCACGTAACTCTGCTTCTTACATCCAGACCGCACCCCCCACCTTTGGCCAGGCTTGACTCTCCTTCCGAGAGGCGAGCTGCCCGCGTGCGCTATTTGTATGCAGCCTTGTGTTTTGCATGTTCCCGCTCCGTCTCTGCGCTTTGCTCTCTCTGCGCATGTGGCCACCATCCGCGCTGTCAGCCGCCTCGCATCGTGAGGCTCCTTGCCACAGCGAGCGAGAGCGCCCCGCTTCTGCCTACACGCACCATTTTGCGCTCCCCTCACGCCCCACTCCCTCCCCCCACCCTCACAAACCATCCTCTCTCTCCCTCCTCGCTGCCCCCCCACCACCACAGCCCGACCTAATCCCAGCTCCTCTCTCTCTCTCTCTAAAGCTCACTCTGCTTCGTGCGAGACGAGCTCACGCACACTGCACGCGCACTCCCACGTCTCACGTCGCTCGGGCACAGACACAGAGGGAGGACTACACCAGCATCGTCGCGTTCCAGCGAGGCAGCGACCCATCTCTGGTGCCCAACACTGCACGCGAGCTCCTCGCCAATAGTACTGAGTTGCAGCACCTGCCTCGCGAGAGCGCGCTTACTGCGTAATTGACTTAAGCGCAGCGCTCTTTGCCGCGCAGACAGCGCACACGGACTGTGCGCTTGACGTAGCAATGGTTAGCTGCTGTATCGGAATGGTCTGCCCTGTTATGTACAAACAAAACATGATAACTGTAGGAGCCGGTCGAGCGAACATTCGGAAGATTGTACGGACAGGCTGTTGCTGAGTGGTGTTGCCGGGTGGTGGTACTGCTGCTGCGGTCGCCCCGATGCGATCGGCGCGTTCGACAGCGAGCAACATTGAGAGCGGTTTTGCGAGTCCATCCGAGCACGTCGCTTCAGCTGCCGCCGCCGCTGCTGCTGAACCTTTGTCCTGCAGGAGTCCGTCGCCTGTCCGCGCGCGTCTCACGCAGGTGATTGCTCGCGACTGCGCCGTTCGCACTTTATTTTTTACCGAGGCGGCATCCCGCGGTGACGGGCAGGGAGCGAGACACGGAGAGATGTTCATCAGCGATTTGTCTTTGACCTTGTGTGTGCTGCGTTGTCGAGGTGGCGAGTGGAACAGTCAAGTCTTACGATCCGCATCTCCCCCTTTTCACATTTTAAGACCACGTCAGGTCAAAACGCTGCCCCACGGTGACCACTGATTTCGCTGTGACCTTTTCACGTGAGCTGTATTCGGTGACTGTTGAAAGCTGCGAGACGACCCTGGACTGTACATGCGCTAGCGTAGAGCGCATTCGAGTACTTTTTGCAGGATTCTCATCACCGCTCTTCCATAGCACGGCGAATTTACAGTGGATATGGCCAGCTCTTGAATGAATGCATTTCTCTAGTCCTGGAGTAGGTATTTAGATAACTAGTTGGGTAGGCATGTCTGTCGGTTGATAGGCACAATAATCAGAAACTATGACCGCTTTTCGCATCTGAGGGTATATAATTGCATAGAGGCTGCACTCACGCCTGAAGCGCGATGCAAGCGCCCCGCATGCTCGCACGTCGGTGGATCTGTCCATTCTTCTTCTCTGGGCGTTGCGGATGGCGCGGACTTAAGGCTGACTGCGGGGACGGGCAATAAGCGGTGGCGGGGGAGGCTTTGCCGCTCTTGCATCACGCAGGGTATAAGTCACGGGCAGGATAGCCACGCGCGGAATGAGAACCTATGCGAGTGGGAGGCGGTGGCGTGGGCTTGGGTACGGTGAGAAAAACACTGTAAATGCGTCTCAAATGAGCAATGGTGTTGCTGGTCATCTTCTGTTGGTGACACTGAGCCAAGGGTGGAAATAATCCACATTTTCATGGCAGGGGCCAAGTCTGCACCTTGAGTCGCCGCTGTGGTCTCTCTCTTTATGCATGTACGTGCCACAGCCCCTTTGTCAACTCACTGCTGGATGAAGGTCTCCCAACGCCGTGCGTATCGTAAAGGTTGGTGAAGCAAGCTATATAGTCCATAGCAATGGCGGAGCCAGAATTTTCAGGTAGGGGGGGGCAACACCTCTAGCAATGAAAAATTATAGGAGTTGTTAGTAAGTAAGGACTTGTCCCTTGCTTTTTATTCGAAAGCGTGTGCGGCGATGGCGCAGCCATCGATCGAGGGTCGAATTCGAACCGCATCGCGCTCGCTGAAGGTATGCCTTCAGGGAAGTCGTGTACTGCATACGCAACTGTGCACAATTCTGAGCCACTTATAACTGCTTTGCCGTTACTTATTGCCAATTATGGACTCAGACTATTGTCCTATCATCTCATAGAGTCCCTGGCACATAATACTATGCTACAAAGTGTGCAGTGGGGGTCGCAAATTGCCGATTTATTACTAATAAACCCCAATTAACCGAACGAAATTAGGGATTTCGATCGGATCTTTGGGGGGGGGGGGGTGGCACGTGCCACCCCACCCCACTCCCCCACTGGCTCTGCATCGGAGGGTATATAATAGCATAGAGGATACTAATGTATGCGTGCGGGCTTTACATTGTGTGTAGTTGTTTTGATTGTAGAATCTGTTATTTTCTATGCTCATGCATTAGTTAAACTTCTCACGTCTCCCTTGAAAAAGTGATTTCCATCTAAATGAGCTTTTACCTGGCTAAATAAAGGTGTCTATCTGATGGCGTTTTTTATGGCTCTTGAAGCGACACTATCCTGTATTGACAAAGAACAGAGTCGTAACACGTCGGTTGTTTTCCTGTCGTAGAGAGATAAACACTCGTGCAATGCAAAGGCAATCATGGCTGATGGTGATATAGGGGGATCACAACCTTCTATTCACGAAATAATTAGTCACTTTACGTAATATAACAATGTACAGCCCTTTGTGAATCCACTTCTGGATAAGGACCTCCCCGTGGGGGTTGGTTGACCATACTAGGTCAATGCGGGGTCAGAGCAGATTGGTGAAAAGGACGGGGAATTTGGAGAGGGAGTTGGCGCAGGACTGGTTCAGACATCGCTCTCCACTGATAGTTTGCCGTGCTAGGGGAATATAACTAACGGCAGTGCCCGTGCACTAACCACTGCGCCACCACACTGCCTACCATTTGTAATGTGTCATCCGTCTAATACACGAATAAACGTTAATGGTTACGATAATATACTTTAGAAAATAATAGATACGATGCTGTTAGTCTGTGTACGGTATGCCAGTCTTCAAAATGTTGGCTTCCTATGTTTTCGCGTGCGTGATTTACGTGGTTATATTATGTATGGAGACACGTGTGATACAGAAATGTAAAGGAGGGATTAGTGAGTCATGCAGAGCGCACTAGTTGTACAAGACTTCCAACCTGCTAGGAAAGGAGCTGACCTCAGGTGGCAGTTAAGCAGGTAGGTTCGCTTGACCTCTCTGTGCAGGTGTTATTGCCTTATTTACTTTGCTCCGGGCACTCCGGTTTCCCCAACCGGTCAAAATAGGTAACACATGCAATTGGTCAAGATATCCGAAGAATGACCTTCATTAAAAAAAAAACTATTTTGAAGACCCAGTGAAGATTTAGAGTACTGTACTGTATTTGGCTGCTATACATTTCCACGTGATAAGCTATTACGTTGAGCGATAATTTGTGGCCAGATCGCTTCTGAAAATGAGCTCTGGAGCTCATATTTTGAAAGAAAGTCATATTCGGTCCCAAGTAAGGAGAATGGTTTCACCACCCCCCCCTGCGTTAAAGGGATGGGCGAACCTGATCCTGCCGCTCCAGCCAGCGGTCGACCATGGGGTGAGCGGCACTGAGGGACGAGCGAGCGGCTACGCGCTGGAACGCTCCTCCCCCGGCGTGTCGCGCCATCGGCCCACACGCGGCCTCCGCCCCTGACTCTCCCGACACCTCATCCTTTTCTTTGGTGGGGGGGGGGGATGGAGAGGGGATAGAGGGGGCGAGAAGAAGTGAGGGGATGGAGGGAAGGAGGCTGGCAATAATTGCAGCCACTCGTCTAAACTACAAATTTTGGTTTAGTTAAGTGAGAGATAATGCACACGAGAGTGCATCGACCTTTGTGACGTTAGAAATTAAAGGTCAGACGGATGAGCGTGAATGGCCAATGGTTAAAAATGCATCCCGGGTGAATGCGTGTGAATGTCAAGTGAAAGAGAATTAATGGCAGGTGTTTGATAGTGAATGACGGGTGGGTGATTGTGATTGCCAGTTAGGTAGCTTGACTGTGAGAGTGAGTATTAGGCAGGTGAGAGTGGGGGTTGGGTGGGAGATTCTGAGTGTCTGACGGGTGATTGTGAGTGTCGGGCAGATGAGAGTGGAGGTTGGGTGGGTGATTGTGAGTGTCGGGTGGGTGAGGGTGGGGGTTGGGTGGGTGATTGTGAGTTTCTGGCGGGTGTGAGTCGGGGTTAGGTGGGTGATTGTGAGTTTCTGACGGGTGATTGTGAGTGTCGGGCAGGTGAGAGTGGAGGTTAAGTTGGTGATCGTGAGTTTCTGGTGGGTTATTGTGTCGGACAGGTGAGAGTGGAGGTGGGTGATTGTGAGTGTCTGGCGGGTGAGAGTGGGGGTTGGGTGATTGTGAGTGTCTGGTGGGTGATTGTGAGGGTCGGACAGGTGAGAGTGGAGGTGAAGTTGGTGATCGTGAGTTTGTGGTGGGTTATTGTGAGTGTCGGGCAGGTGAGAGTGGAGGTGGGTGGGTGATCGTGAGTGTTTGGCGAGTGAGAGTAGGGATTGGGTGATTGTGAGTGTCTGGTGGGTGATTGTGAGTGTCGGGCAGGTGAGAGTGGAGGTGGGTGGGTGATTGTGAGTTTCTGGTGGGTGAGAGTGGGGGTTGGGTGGGTGATTGTGAGTTTCTGGCAGGTGATAGTGGGGGTTGGGTGGGTTATTGTGAGTGTCTGGCGGGTATTTTTGAGTGTCGGGTGGGTGAGAGTGGGGGTTCGGTGGGTGATTGTGAGTTTATGGCAGGTGAGTGAGTGTCTGGTGGGTGATTGTGGGTGTCTGGCAAGTGAGAGTGGAGGTTGGATGGGTGATTGTGAGTATCTGTCGGGTGAAATTGTGGGTTAGGTAGGTGATTGTGGGTTTCTGGCGGGGGAGAGTGGGGGTGGGGTGGGTGATTGTGAGTTTCTGGCAGCTGAGTGAGTGTCTGGTGGGTGATTGTGGGTGTCTGGCAGGTGAAAGTGGAGGTTGGGTGGGTGATTGTGAGTGTCGGGCAGGTGAGAGTGGGGCTTGGCTGGGTAAGTGTGAGTGTTGTGTGGCTGAGTGTTGGGTGGGTGGTGTGTGGGTGGGTGTGAATGTTAGGTGTGCGGGGGTGTGTGTTGGGTGGGTTAGATTGAGTATCTCGTGGGTAAGTGTGAATGTCGGGTGATTGTGTCGGGCGGGTGAGATTGGGGGTTGGGTGGGTGAGTGTGAGTGTCTGCCGGGTGAGAGTGGGGATCGGGCGGGTGAGAGTGGGGGTTGGGTGAGTGATTTTGAGTGTCTGGCCGGTGATTTTGAGTTTCGGTCGGGTGAGAGTTGGTTTTGGGTGCATGATTGTGAGTTTCTGGCGGATTAGTGAGTGTCTGGTGGGTGAGCGTGACTTTCTTGTGGATGAGAGTGGGGGTTGGGTGAATGTCAGTGTCTGGCGGGTGATTGTGAGTGTCGGGCAGGTGAGAGTGGAGGTGGGTGGGTGATTGTGAGTGTCTGGCGGGTGAGAGTGGGGTTGGGTGGGTGATTGTGAGTGTCGGCCAGGTGAGAGTGGAGGTGGGTGGGTGATTTGAGTGTCTTGCGGGTGATTTTGAGTGTTGGGCGATTGAGAGTGGGGTTTGGTTGCATGATTGTGAGTTTCTGGCGGGATAGTGAGCATCTGGCGGGTGAGTGAGTTTGTTGCGGGTGAGAGTGGGGGTTGGGTGGGTGATTGTGAGTTTCTGGTTGGTGACTAAGTGTCTGGCGCGTGATTGTTAGTGTCTGGCGGGGGAGAGTGGGAGTTGTGTGGGTGATTGTGAGTGTCTGGTGGGTGAAAGTGGGGGTTGGGTGGGTGATTGTGAGTTTCTGGCGGGTGATAGTGGCGGTTGGGTGGGTTATTGTGAGTGTCTGGTGGGTGTTTTTGAGTATCGGGTGGGTGAGAGTGGGGGTTGGGTGCATGATTGAGTTTCTGGTGGGTTAGTGAGCATCTGGCGCGTGAGTGAGTGTCTGGCGGGTGAGAGTGGGGGTTAGGTGGGTGATTGTGAGTTTCTGGCGGGTGAGAGTGGGGGTGGGGTGGGTGATTGTGAGTTTCTGGCAGGTAAGTGAGTGTCTGGTGGGTGATTGTGGGTGTCTGGCAGGTGAAAGTGGAGGTTGGGTGGGTTTTTGTGAGTGTCGGGCAGGTGAGAGTGGGGGTTTGTTTGGTGATTGTGGGTGTCTGGCCGTTAGAGAGTGGGGGTTGGGTGGGTGATTGTGAGTTTCTGGCGGGTGAGGGGCAGGTGAGTGAGTGTCTGATGGGTGAGTGTCTGCCGGGTGAGAGTGGGGGTTGCGTGGGTGACTGTGAGTTTCGATCGGGTGAGTGTCTGGTGGGTGAGTGTGTCTGACGGATGAGAGTGGAGATTGGGCAGGTGAGTGAGTGTCAGGCGGGTGAATGTGAAATTCGGGTGGGTCAGTGTCGGATGGGTAAGAGTGGGGCTTGGCTGGGTAAGTGTGAGTGTTGTGTGGCTAAGTGTTGGGTGGGTGTTGTGTGGGTGGGTGTGAATGTTAGCAAACGGACAAAATTATCAGGGGATCAAATACTTTTTTCCCTCACTGTATAAGGTGACATGGCTCAGCGCGAGCACAGTTTTTTCTGCAGAGTTTTATGCCTCGAATCTGGCCCAACTCCATCGTTAAAACGGCAGTTAAATAATTAATAATACATATTTTTGCTTCGCAGTTAATGTTTAATATCTAGCGGCGCAATTGGATTATCAGTTGGCTATTTTGTGCTGACGTCATGGTCCAAATTTGCCAAATTAGTTTTTTTGTTTCAAATAACCTAATTGGGAAACA